GTCAAAACCAAAGTAAAATCCTTAACAACTTCAACAAATACTTTTCTGCAATTACTAACTCAACTCAACCAACTCCAACTCACTCCAAAACTCCTCAAAAACTCAAAAACTCCCCCAGCTAGAAAAGTTCCCAGCTTATATACCCTTCTGTTTGCGCAGCTAGGGTGGTGTGCAAAAGTAGACTGTTGCGCGACCTCTTATTGCGCGACCTCTCCAGTTTTGCACACAACTCATTGCGCGACCTGAATGTTGCGCGACCTTTTAAAATGCTGACAATGCCTTAACAATGTTCAAAATGGCCTGCAACTGGTTCAGGTATACAGACTGTTGTACAATACAAACAGTAGTACAAAAATACATAATAGTTATATAAATTTACATGTTTGAACACTCAATAGGATAATAATTATCTGTCCAATAAGGCATCTTAATAGTGCAAAATATACTTGCAGTAATAAAGATATATGTACTATATATGGCTTATAAGACCAATACACTTACTACTGATTGACATTTCTATAAACTTATAATACTGACTGATAATTCATTAAACAACAGAAATATAATCTCTCCAGCTTTACAACATACAGCTCAACATTTGAACCAAGTAACCTGTACATAGATAAAGCTGTGAGTAAGGAATCCCATTCATAAAATCTGATATGACCAAATTATGCTTTGTTAACAACAATTGAGATGCTGAAGGGCTAAAAATAACTTAAACCTTGTACTCTTAGTCTGCGCGACCTCTTATTGCGCGACCTCTCCATATTTGGAACTAGCATGCCTGGGAAAGCTGATTCTGCGCGACCTTTCCTATTGCGCGACCTTAAGTGTCGCGCGACCCTTGTCTGTGCGACCTTTCCAAATTTGGAATGAGGTATGCTCATAATCTAAAAATAACTGAGCTGTGCCAATATTCTGGACTGTTAATGACTCAATTGTTTTACAACAAAAATGAGTAAAAGTTAACATAAACATTTTAACCAGCTTAGAAATGTTGTCCAGATTTACCATCCTAAAAGAATACTCTTCTAGTAAAAGATTAGTTTCAAATTTCATAACAATATCAACTTTTTAAGTGTTCATTCTTTATTAAAAAAAAAGATACACCTTTGAAAGAATATCAAGGTCTACTGTATAGTTTAGAAATATACTTGTATGAATTTAAGCTCGAGCACAAATCAATTCAACTTCGTGCTATTTCCGTGGTGTTTTATTTTCTGGTTAGTTTTTCCCATTTCTCATGAGATAGATACTTTGGAAAATGACATTAGAAATATGAATGATGAATATATTTTACATTGATGATCTAAAGATAACGGCATATAATACGAGAGCATTATATAGGATGAATGTAATTATAACAGCACGTGCATTAGTTGTCATGTTGACGTATTGTCACACTTTAGATGTGATTCTATCATGTGGAATAATGAGTTACATGATTATTACAATTAATGTATATTTTAGAATGCTTCTCTTGCCAACTGCAGAAAATGCACATTTATTTAAAGTTGAATTTATCATTCCTATCATGGGGTTTAAATGCCTATTTTTAAGACAGTACTTCCGAATGATTGTGCTAGTTTTCATGAAAACCTAAAGGAGTCTTTTATTGATAAAAAGTGGGAACATGTTGTCATTTGATGAAATTAAGTAATTTAGAATAGCCTCGGGCATAATCTATTGCCAAAATATACAGAAACATTTCTTACTCCGTTAGTAACAGAGTAGAACTTTTTAGTAGCAATGAAAATATATTAAGTTATATTATTTTTAAATTTAAAAATACTGGTAATTGCTATAGTATTACAGTCTCTATTTAGATGTAAAAAAACATGTTTTGATTACGTACATAGACATTATGTTCGTTTTAATCTTTATATATCATTGATAGTGAATTCAGCTTTTTTTCAAAACATTTTTGTGCTTTCTCTTAATCAAATTAGTCATATTCAGCATCTCCTAAATTTCAATATTTTTTTTTTGCAATAAAAGTATTTTACCCAAAGATGAGCATAGCTTATCCTTAATTATGTCTTATTTTGCGTAATACAGTTAAAGTTTCACAAGAAGAGTGTAAATATCAATTTACATGTATTTCATAGAATATAGATTTAATTTTTGTAAACTTTTATTTCTTTGAGATAAGTTCACTAATCAGAGGACATTTAAACATAATCCGATAATGCCATTACTGACAATGTAAGAGTATAGGAATTTGTGAAGGAGTCGGAATTCGCAAACTTCAATTAATATTTTTATGTTCAATCGCAGGGACAAGAGGATAGAATTATTGAAATTCTTGTTTAACACATGAGACGGACACCCCTCCCCACCCCACCCCACCCCCTCTTCTCGGACATAAGCCCTTTCCTTCCTTCTGTTGATTAAATTTACTAGCAACATAGATAAAAACGTTTTTCTATGTGATTTTGTTGGCTCAATGCTCGTAAATAGCATACTGTAATTTTATCAAAGAAATAAAAGCGATCATTATTGTTCGCATTATAACATTTCTGTGGTTGACGTATTTACGCATTAAATTATTCCTAAACACATCCTGGATACCAGGAATTATTGTGAATAATGGCCGCACTATAATGGTGAATTATTTCTCAGAATATTTTACCTAGAGGTATCATAATTATAACCGTTAAATGGTTTCCGTATATATAATTGCCGTATTCAGCAATCGGTGGAAATTATACGTGTTTGCGAATGAAAAGATTATTTATGAGTTAGTTTTTTTTGACTGTTCAAAGTAGTACATAGACTGTAATAACGAAATATAGCGATTCGTTTGACACTGTAACATAATATAGTGTTTCATGTTATTATAAACATAGAAATGATAAGATGATAATGTATCAGTATATAGTGAGTCACATGATTCTGTTACGTAATAAAGTGGTAAACAGTATATCGTTACGTAATAAAGTGGTACAAAATACTACTTTTACGTAATGTAGTGGTATACATGATACTGTTACGTAATATAGTGATACAAGATAAATATTGTAACTTGTAATATAATGTAGTGGTACTCATGGCACTGTTAAATAGTGGTGAATATGATACTGTTACGTTTTATAGTGGCACAAAAAGTTATTGTTATGTATTATAGATATACACATGATACTGTTACTTAATATAGTGGTAATAATAGTATAAAATAGGTGATGTAGTGATACACATGAACCTAATACGCTATGTCGTGGTACACATGGTACCGTTTAGTAATTAGGTGGAGCACATGCTATTGTTACGTTAAATAATTATCAACATGATATTGTCAATAAATATAGTGGTATACATGATAATGTTACGTAACATACTAGTCAAGATAATACTTTTGCGTAATAATTATGTTATGTTAGGTAATAAAATAGTACACATGTTACGTAATGAAGTGGTACAAAATAATACTGTAACGTCATGTAGTGGTACACATGATACTTCGTGTTACGTTATGTAGTGTACAAAATAATACTGTAACGAAATGTACCGATAACATTATACTTCGTGTTACGTAATGTAGTGGTACAAAATAAGACTGTAACGTAATGTAGTGGTACAAAATAAGACTGTAACGTAATGTAGTGGTACACATAATACTGTTACGTAATGTAGTGATAACATTATACTTCGTGTTACGTAATGTAGTGGTACAAAATAAGACTGTAACGTAATGTAGTGGTACAAAATAAGACTGTAACGTAATGTAGTGGTACAAAATAAGACTGTAACGTAATGTAGTGGTACACATAATACTGTTACGTAATGTAGTGATAACATTATACTTCGTGTTACGTAATGTAGTGGTACAAAATAATACTGTAACGTAATGTAGTGGTACACATTATACTGTAACGTAAATGTAGCGGTACACATGATGTCATAATTGGCTTAACAGATTATGTTTACAAATAATCAAAGCCTTTATAATTTTATAAAAAATAGGTGAATCTTTATGCAGGCTGCTTTAACTAACAATGTTTCAGAATAAATGAATTATAATCGCCAAATCTTTAGCCCGCGATATACAAGTTATTTATCATTCAGGAAGTTAGAAATATCGTTACAAATAAGAACGTACATTTATTTTTCCATTTCAAAGCGTTTTTCCTTTTTGTTTTGAACATGAAGCTAGAGATAAATATATGTCACAAATTGAAATGCAAACGACCTTGAATCTGTTTTCCATTGATCAGTTTTCAATATTTAAACATTCTACAAAACTGCAGGTTTTACATTAACTTTCTTAGCGAAATCATGCGTAAAATTGAATTGAAAATTTACTATAACAAAATGTTGAAAAGTAATTTGTGTAATATCAGTGTATGTATCAATGTAAAAATACCCGTATCGGCGTTATAACATGTCTACTACTGATAAAAGAGACATATCTATGATATATCTAAAATATTAACTGGATTTATTTTATTTACATTTCATAAGAATCTATTCTTTCTGAGTGTTTGTTTGTTTTGTTCTGTTTGATTTTAAAATCCTATACACCACATATTTTTAATGAAACTGAAAGTCCATGATCTCACCTATTGGAGACCCTTTAACGTGTCCGTACGCCGACATAAACATGCTAAGTTTAGTTATTTTATACCAATGTTAAGAGGGAATTGTAATCCTCCAGACTTTAACATTATTTATCATAATATTTATCCAATTAGTTTATCTCGAAATCGATTAATTCTCTATCAAAGATAAACAAACTTTTAATGCATTTAGATGGTTTAGTCGCTCTATTATGTTAACTGCTTCAATAATTTATCTTTTATTTTGGGTCAAAAGTTTTATCTGTCTTATTGAAATGAGGTTTAAGTTCAGTAAAGTAAAAAAAAAATCACGACAACAAAACTGTTTATTAGGATAACTGTACTCATTAGAAGCTAGAGCTCATAAATAGTTCAATTATATCCGCGTTAGATGGCCTAAAGGGTTGTAAAAGTTTACAAAAACAGACGGGGGTACAATGTAATAAATTGTTGTAATCAAAGTTAAACCCTTACTGACATTTACTACTTGAACGCCGCGGCGGTCAGATGTTTTTACTTGTTACACAGCTACATTCAATGTTAGGCTCCCATCAGTATTTATCTAAACTTAATATCCTAGGGTAAGCTGTTGAAGTTGTATAAACCTTGCATCAATGGATTATAGCGACAGTTTCCGCTGTATTGGAATACTTTAGTTGGTAAAGACTTAAAGGTATCAAGATATTCGTAAGTGTGACTTAGACAACAGGGAAATTTATTGTGAAAAGCTGACATACATTAATTGTGAATTATTTCATATAGTTATTGTGAATTAATGGTTGTACCATATATTGGGACATTTCGTAGAGTTATTCAGTGAAAGTTGTGTATATAATTGTGATAATAAGCATTCATTGATAATTATACGTGTATTTATAAGCCGGATTCAAGAGGATTATTTATTGTAGAGGTTTGTGAACTAGAAACAATTCATACCACGATTTTGTTTTTCTCGGAATATCATGGTAACGTAGATTTCAGTAGATAAGAGACAGATGTTGAGTGTTTGTAAATTGTCGTCTGCTAAGTTTAGGCTGTTCTTCATTAAAATGTGTTTCTGTAATTCAAACATGATGCTTATTGTAATATGATAAATGTATGGTTTTAAACTTCATTTATTTATAACTATTTAGAAAACGGAACATAAATTAAATTATTTACAAATATAGTTATTGCGGTTGAAGTGTATTTTAGCGCCTTACATTTTACCATAATTAAGTTTGGCGTTTTAATGTGATATCTAATTCATTTGTAAATACGTTTTCGAAGTATGTAAATTAATCCATCGAAAAAAAAGATTAAACGACCTTGAAGAGGTAGTTAGACTAAATTTCACAAAATTACAGTCTCCACCCATAAAAACATATTTAATGAAAATTGACATGTAATTATGTCTTATAAGAGCGACCTTCTCCGCGTTACATTTATCAATGAAATATTTGTCTCTGTAAATGTTACACCTGGTTAAAAGTTTTATATGCTAATTTATTATCCGTATGAATGAAATGCTTTATTTTCACGAGAATAGCGCGATTTATTTTAAATTTAATTGTTGAGTGAACAGGTTGCTGTTGGTAGAAGGGGAATACAAAATAGGTGCACGAAAAGTCAACTTCTTAACTTCATTTCAATAACTTTGAAAGTATTCTTGTGTTATTCTATAACATCTTTGGAAGAAACTATAGTCGGAGGCCTAAAAATAAAGATCACATGAATATATACGATCGTATGTAACAAAAAGTATGATTGATTTTTTTCATTTTGAGAAGGCATATACTAAGTGTTTGTTAATGGTCCTGATTTAATTCAACGAATGATTTTTGTAGAATATATTCGATTTTATTATCGAATTATTTATAGGACACTGCTTTTGTAGTATTAGAAATTAATTGCAATGTCTAAGTCCACTTTCATCTTCTTAAGCGTTCTTAATATGTTATCAATCTCGAGTGCAAAAGTAGGATATAATATTATATCATTGATAATATAACATATGGGGACTCCCACGATTCAAATTTTGTAGTAACAGATTTTCTATGTTATCTTCATCAGTATTTTATTTCATTCAAGCTAATCCTCTCAGTTGGAATGTCTTCTTGTTACATTTTGTATTGTTAAACATGTAAAGATGCTTTTTGTAAAACGTTTGGGGATGGATACATTTATACATGATAACATCTATACTTGTCACAAATTACCTTCTATAGTGTAAAGAAAATCGTGTCTTTTTGGACGTTTTGTTTATTTGCACACGCTAAAATAAGCAATGACATATAAACATAATTATGTACTTTTACATTTTGTATACAACATGTTTAAGTATAATGTACTTAAGTTGTGTAGGTATTAGGCACAGTGTCATGATATCACATTACTATATGATATTTATGATATTTGTAAAGACAAACTTTAAAACATAAAATTATCTATTAAGCATAAGCTTATCATTACTGAGATTTATAGTAAAGTTACATGTTATATTTAAACTGAATTACAGCATTTTACGTAATAAGACGGGGTGATACCATTTGGTAGAATTAGTCTATCATGTCTTATATCTGATATTTTTATTCTTGAACATTAATTTGTGTTTTTAGAGAAATACTTGTATTGTTCGAATAACCAACTACCTTGGGGTATCACGCGAATCACCAACTATGTCCCCTCCTTTATTCTGTTTAAATGTATGATGTGTTCGAACATTTTATGCTGGCAATAGTGGATAAGAATTACCAACTACCAGCTGTTAGGTAGATGGCTATTCAAATATCCAACTACCAATTACCTACGAAATGGACGCTCATAGAATTTCAGTGTGTTTATCGTTATATAAAAATTATGTATTGATTTGCAGACAATATCAACCCACATAGTTTTCCAGCATGTCCCATAATTCTCGAGGGATGACATCGAACAAAATTTAGATAAATAATATATTTAACTTATATATCATGTATATAGTTTATACACTCCCACACACTCGGAAAGTCCTGTAGGGTGTCCTAATAAAATTTTGAACTCAGATAGAGACTGTTTGGGTACATTTTAAATTTGATAATAGCGAATTGACTGAGTTTGCTCATTTAATGAAATCCGGTATTCTTAAACTGAAGTAATAGCATATAAACTGGAAGTTTGATAACGAATCTTATTGAAACATACAGGTAACAAACATTAAACATGCTCTTAAACAATTATTTAAACGTTCTAAAACTCATAAGAAGTAAACATTTATTCGTTTCTGGGACATAATGTGCCTTTAATCTGCGTCAGATGACTTTCATTGTTGTTTTTTTTTAATTCTGCAAAAACAATAGCATATATATTTTTTAAAACATATTGATATATATAAAACAAGATGAATTGTTTCTTTATCGGTAGCCCGTTGTCATATAGAACAGTATTTACACAGCAGGTCAAAGTACTTACACTTCACAAACTGTTCCATTCATACTGATAGTTTATTGTTATTTTATCAAACAAGCCCTCTATTGTTGAACTTGAATAAACATTGAACATTTACGACGAGTGAAGGAAATTATAGGAGTGATTGTAAGCGTGAGAGTTCGATTGTAAACGCATCCTGGTTACTTGAAGGATGAAGCAGAATGACCTGGTCAAATGTTAAAGAAATATGCTGTAAAATAACAGTGTTCATGAAGCATAAATATCATAACTTTTACCTTCTAGCAGATACCGTATCTTTTCAAGAATTATAATTGATTGATTTCCAGAGTGTTATGATTGTTGTAATCATTGTCATCATCATTTTAATGCTAAGTATATTCCATGAAAATATATAGTATTATAGGATTTAAACAAACTGATGCTATAAAAATAGTCGTCATCTTTCAGGTGTATTCATAGAACAATTTCGAACCCTTAGCTTTTGCCTTGTGGTGGCACCTAGTAACGGCAACTGATTATACACATGCGACCAGTGCTGACCAAGATTAGCAAGCATATACATCCGTGTCGTTTGATCATGGAGTATGCACTGTTCCTATTTAGTCAGTACTTATTTTGAAATTTCCTCTTAAACAATAAATGGTTCTGTCCAAATTGAAAGAATGACAAGTCCATTTAATATATTAGGCTTGGTTTGGATTGAAGTTGTCACTAGTGGACATAGGAAAACATGTAGTCAGCACGATTAGCATTTTCCTCTGTTAGCCGGTCATGTCTAATTTGCAATAAAGTCAATCAAGTATTTTAGTTCAAAACGTAGACATGTTAATCATACTGAAATTGAAATAAATGGCTTTTGAAACCTGTCGATCACCCGCCTTATCGTGATATAATTTCAATATTCATTGAAAATCTACGTATAATCGTTATTTTCCATCAAAATCACAGTACATAAATCAACGTTACGGTTTCTGTTATGTTTTGAAATTGAACACTGACATTCTTGTCGAAGGGGTGACTTATTTTTGAAATATGCAGTCAACATTAAGGATCATGAACGTGCGTATTCACATAAACAGTCTTACTGTAATAAGACTTCAGTAACTCAAGTTTTGACTTAGTAGTATGCTTAAATCCTAAATTCATAAAAAAAGATAGAATAATGTTTGCTTAAGAAGAAATAAAAAAAATCATTGAAGTTTTCAATATACCTTTGTTGTGAGCAGGAAATTGAATATAAATCGAAAATTGTCGTATAATGGGCTATTGATTATTCAGATCACGGCAGAAAAATGGTCATACAATCTAGCGTAAAATGACTTAAATGCCACCTGTATTAGCATATAGCATACGTCAACAATGTTTATCAATTCTATCTAACTGACATGTGAAATTATAGTCTGTCAAATTCAAAATTGAATTGAATGTAAAATATACTTTACTTTATTCAAGGTTCAACATGTTCCATCAAATATCAAACTTGGTGGATACATCTTAGTTAGTGCATATATTTACCGTGTTTTTGATGCATTTGATATTCGCTTGTTACATGCATTCTCATATTTCTTCCTGTAATCCACACATTTGTTTTGAAAGGCTGCTATCAAGACATATCATCTGTTTATTTAGTTTTAAAGGGAATGACAATGCAGAAACAAATACCGGTAACAACTTTTGAAGATATACACTATAGATAATAATTTTGTAATGTTTCACGATAGATTATACGCGTTTTGGCAAAGTGTGCGAATAAGCCCTATCATGTTTACGTGACTTTTTTATTTCGTATCATACAAATAGTAGAATAAAGGTTTATTGCTTAACCGGAAAACGCTAAAAATATTTTTAAAAAATGAGCTTTAATTTAAAGACCCCCAAAAGTTGTATGGGTAATAATCATTTTGTCGGTCTGTACTGTCGAACGTAATGCTCTAGATTATAACGACTGTAACAGTCTTTACTAACTCGTAATATATGTGCTGCTGTTTATAACAAATATTTAAATAAATTAATGTGAATTGCGTTGTTATATATACCTGTTCAAACAAACATCAGAGAACAAAACGCAAAGGGAAACATAATACTGTGCTTGTAAGTGAATAATGAATTAACAATTGTGTAATGCAATCAAAAATATAAATATGTAAGATATAATTATTACTTTTACCATTGGTTCTCTTTTGATTTACTTTTTGTATTAAATGTCTCATCAAACATTTGCTCGGAAAGCTATCCAGGTAGCTTGGGAAGGTCAGTGGTTCTACTCAAGTGTCTTTTCTCCGGACAATAATATCAATACACGAAGGGGCACCTGGGGTCTTCTGAAACACGGAAGGTCGCTGCATGAACTCTACTGTGTCTTGTTGACTTAAAACCAACCAAACAAATATATTGGAAACTGTTTCATCAGCGTTACAATGTCCCTCATATTCACATACAAATTTGTTTCAGGCCACATGAACCATTGATTAAAATTGACCGTGAGCTTTGTAACCATCAGTTTTCTCACGTTTAAATTATTGGTGTTTGTATTTATGCATGGCATAATGGGATATTT